GCAGCGTGCCCGAGGCGACGGCGCGCGCGCGGAGGTCGCGGTGGCGCGCGTCCACGTGCATCAGCAGGCTGCTCTTGTGCTTGGTCTGGTGCGGGCAGAACGGGCAGCTGAACTGAGGCTGCTTGCCGCACTCGAGGCGCGCGTGCCGCACCAGCGACGACTTGTGGTGGTAGCTCTTGCCGCAGGCGGCGCAGCGGAAGGACGGCGCCCGCCCTTCACCCGCGCAGCCGCCGCCGCCCACGCCCACGCCGCCGCCGCCGAAGCCTGCGGGCAAGCCAGCGAGTCAGGCGCGCGCAAGGAAGGAACCGCTTCCAGATCACCACAGGCTTCCACAAAATGACGGTACACACTTTAATAGCCAAATAGGGAAACAACGCGAAGGTTTTTCGAAATCAGTCGGTTCTGATGTTGGAGAACGGCGTAACTGATATTCCCAATTTCGATAAGGGAGCGGCTGAGGTGGTAACCGAACTGCGTAGCCTGTTCTGGACTGCGGTCTTGTAACAACGGCAGAACACTTGTCGTCATTCAGAAACTTATAATTTCCATTAACAATTAGCCACGTCGCGAGTACTCTGTGACATGACGCTTCACGTTGAATTCGCTCAACACAAAGAAATTCAGCAGTGTCTTGCCCGTAAAGCGCATACATAGCTCCTTCAAATATAAAATAGAGGTCCCCATCGTCGTGTGCTTAAATCGCGAGGATTGACAATGAAAAAATATTCAATACACAAAATAAAAATAATTCTAAAAAATTACCTCTTGTATATATACTTAATGGTGCTACTAGCAAATATAGCTTAATATATTACCTGATTTTCCTAACTCATTTCCGTATTTTTCATGCAATTCCATCCATACATTTTGTGATTGTCAAAACTCAGCCTCTTGAAACAGCCATCTATTTTCTTGGTTCAACAAAACATCTTGTACTTCCAATGACAGGTCAAACAAGAATATTTACATAATATATTAAATTCATCTGTTTCAGATATAAAAATAACAAAGTTGAAAATAAATCACAATTTTTAGCTAATTAAAATTTTTTCTCATGAACCAGAACATTCCAACTGTTTTAACAGAAATAATATGCTGCAGAACAGTAAAAATAAATGCTTTCTAAAAGTGAATAGTGTGTGTGTGTGTGTGTGTGTGTATATAGGAAAGCATAGATACTTTTCTGGCAAAATAAACAAGAGACCTAAAAAGCAAAGGACACAATGCAAAAAGTGAGTAATGAGTTTCCTTCAAAAAAAATCCCAAATGATGAACCCTCTATTGAGGAAGACAATATATATCAATGAATACAATCTCTAGAGTAAAAAACATCAAAGAGAAATTTGCCTGAAAAGAAAAGTGAAGGGAAAAGTAACAACGTGAGCCCTTTGATTAGAAATTATCAAAGAGGGAAGGCTGTTCACAACTGAAAAATATTATATAAAGCTACATGAATCAACAGTAAATTTAAATAAACACATTGATTGCATGTATTGTTCACAAACAGCATGTACGCTGAAGGTAATATTTTTGTCTGTAAGTACAAAGAACACACAATGACAGGTCTAAATAGAATCTGTAAAAAAATTTTTGGAGCCAACCGTAAATCAAGAAACAGTATTTCACATCACAACTGACAATAGATTCTGAGTAAATTGATACAAAGTAAACCATAAAATTATCAATGCAATTACTAACACCATTTCCAGAAGTATCTATCAAGGTATCATTTCGAGAAGTACTTTACCAGTGACACTGAAAAACATTGAAAAATTAGATCTAAAGAAAATAACAGTGTATATTTTAAATATTTAAAACCATTGAATAAATAATTTATATCTAGTTTAGAATATTTATAAAAGTGTCCAATTACTGATCTCAGACAAAGACAGAAACACACACACACACAGTACTCAGTGGAGAAATTCAATAGGAATTGAAAAATACCTTAAACTACAAAATTTAAAATCATTTGTTAAAAACACTCTCTCCAGATAATGTTAAATCGGAAATTAGTGCTTTTCAACACATTTTACAAAATAAATTTTGTCCAAAGGATTCATTATATTTGTATACTCTGATAAAATAATACTATCAATTCATTATATTCTATTGTGTAATTACCTAAATTAATAACCACACTTGAATGTTGGCAGGTACTTCAAGGCAGACACCAGGGAATCAAATAATATTACAAAATTATAGATCGTATAGCACATAAAAAGTGGCCTCAAAGGTTTTTGAGATGCTGCAGTGTCCGAAAACACGTTGGTGCTACATACCACAAAAAGTTAGTGGGTTCAAATGCTATGCAAGGCAAGAGCGTGATCACGTGGTGTAATAGACATCTCACATCCACAATTATTATTCTTCTCACATTATTTACCCCTCATTCCCCAGAGTTCACTCTAACATCTTGCTTCAAAGACAAGGTAAACACCATTATGATCACCCAGGAAAGGGGAGGACATTGCAGTGCAGGTCTCCTTCCTTATCTATGTTCAGAAACGAGCATGGCACTCATCATTGTAATGACAAAATAAAAAGCTCTCATTACCATCGTCTATAAAAAGCCATCCTCTTACTGAAAAATTGGAGTCAATCATCAATCAATAGCATTTGCGAGACAGCATTAGCAGGCATGTAAATCTTATCTGCAGACAATATCCAAACATTGAGTGCATCAGAAAATGATTTGCTACATCTATTCAAAAGCGAAACTACTAATTATTCTTTTAGTCTTAATAATCATGTCTTTGAATGTCCGGCACACTCACAACTACCGCAATTTGTTGTGTCCTACAAAGAATACAATGAAATATTTTTTTTTATAAGTATATGAATATTATTAGGATATTTTATTGGGATAATACAGAAACAAAAGGAATTATTTTTTATTTGGGGACAGGATAGGTTAAAAAAACACCACAATGATTTCATAAACATACAAAAACTTCATTAAAAACAGTCACATAAAAGGTGAAATGATAAAATGTTCACGACAACTTCCAAAAAAATGAGCAGGATATTTTACACTGAACATCATATTGAAATAACAATTTTGTTATTTTTAAAGGGTCTACTTTAGAACCAGTCATTACCTTCAAAGCAACAAAGGTCAATGTGTTCTACTAATGTACTGAGGTGAACAATTACTAAATGTGAAAGGAAGAATCTCCAAACCACTCACTTAAAAAAAAAAATCAGTAACATATCTTTATTGGAACAAACAAAAATCACTATCATTAATTTATGTACATACGTACAGATCACAAAATATTGGTAGAAATGTATTTATTTATGTGAAATAACAAAATATGGTCAGAATCAGCGATAAAATTTTGTTTTTGCACATTTCATTACCTTTCTTCATCTTTAGACTAAATTTATTGTTAATATTCCCTAGTATGCTGTACAGGGACTGACTTGGTCACATGTTCATTAAAAAAAATAAAATTTAAAAACTTCTCAACAATATTAAAGTATAAAGATTTCTACAACTGCTGCTTTACACTGAAATTCTATTCAATTTAAGTCAGCAACAATTACAAAAGCATGTCCATTCACTTAATCAAACAAAAAAGTTCACTCCAAACAATTATTTGCTGATTAAAACAGAATTAGTAAAATAATACACTTTTCCAATTTTAACATTTATGCTTAGCACGCACATGTTCTCGCAAATATCGAACATATTTGAATTGATGATGGCAATAAGGACATTTGGTACGAGTATCAGGGTCAGTGTGAATATGACGAATATGACTCTGCATATTGTCATTCCTGGTGAATCGTTGAGGACAATGAGGGCATTGGTATTGCTTGTTTTGCCTACAGACATGACGCAAATGACGCCGAAGAGCATTTCGGTTGCAGAAAATTCTCTGGCAATGATTACAAACAATCCTGCCTTGACTTGTGGAGGAACTAAGAACTGGCACCTTTGTCCTCATCTGTGAGTATGGCACGACGAAACCAGCATCACAGCCTGCAAAGAGAAAGTAAAATGAGCAAAGGAAAGTACAGATAACGAACCAGACTGTAGAATTTGCTATATCTGATGATCGTATTCATCCATAGTTTTTCATTCACTAAGTACTCAGCTAAAATATAATGTAATATAGAAGTATTAAATAAGGTAAGTGAAGTTGCAGAAGGCTGTAAAAATACAGCAGAGTTGGTAACTCAATGAATTTGAACACATCTGGATAGTCAATTGGTTGGTTCCATAAAAGTAAAACGCACTCATTAATAATTATATTTTAATAACTTATAATAATTGATAACTTAGCAAGTTTTAAAAATGATACACATATCTTCAGGAAGAAATACATGGTAGTGTTTTAACACTAATCTGTCCATTACTAATAATCTGTCAAATTCTTGGGCAATGTTTTGACAATATGCCAATAACATAACTTGCAGGGTATAATAGCAGTAAAATATTGTTTTTAAAGTATATCAAAATGTTAACTCATTAGACGGAATAAAGATAAATATGTGCTAAAAACTTTGATGATACATGTATTTCAATTTAATTTCAGCAGGGGATTAAGAATGGGTCACTTTGATTAACATGCCTTCGACTGACATGTTTCTGCAAGTTGGCACGCTGTGTAGCACGATAGGGGCAGTGTGGACACTGGAATTGAGGCTCCTGGCCACATTCACTTCGAACATGGCGAAGGAGGTTGGAACGATAGGCGTAGGCACGACCACAACGATTACATGTGAAGTGCTGTCCGTATGTCTGGGTTGCGCCCATATGCTGGCCAAGACTGCCGGACGATTCTGCCAACAGATGTGTGCACATCAGGCATCAGGAATTTTGTTTCTTTAAGTAAACATTTCCTATTTATCAATAAACTTTACTCATATTAAGTACGTTACATTTCATAAGTGTCTTTTATGCTTGTATTGACATCAACAACAAAAAATTGTACAATAAATAGTTGGGCAGAGGTATTCAGAGATAGCAGAGAGAGTTTGTTCATTTTTATTCACACAGGTATGCAATTTTAACATATCCAATATCACTTATATAAAATACATTTTTTTTCCAAATTAAATTAGGGAAATTGTGGTTGCTTAATTAAATTACAGAATATTTCAAATGAAACTTAACAGTAATCGAAAATGTTGGTAATACCTGCATCATAAATTACAAGTTTAAAATAAAAATTGAATTATGAGAAACAACACTCATCAAATTCTCTAGATAACTCTATCAAAAGATGCAGTACACCACCAATCCGTGACTGAAACGCTTTGGTTGCTACAGGACTAAAGGAAAAGTAGGCAAAAATAAACACATGGTACTAAGAAACTGCTTTATTAGATGTGAGATGAAGCAAAACGCAGGAAGCGCAATGAGCTCTACTGGTAGAGCGCATTAGCATGTCGTGTACGAATGTGTCGACACAAATTGCCTTTCAGTTTAAATCGCTGCTGACATACTGGGCATGCAAAAGACGGTTCCTTGCCACATTCATAGCGTAGATGGGACATGAGGGAGTGCTTCCATCGATACAGCTTGCCACAGCGTTGGCAAGCCAGAGGTGAAGGTGGCATTGCTGATGTCGAGCGCCGCATCTGTGCCAGCAACACCTCGCCATGAGCAGTCCCGGCACTTGGCATGAGAACAGCACCTGGTGCAGGGCCAGGAACAGTTGCGGCTGGGGCTGGAACAACGCGTGCGTACCACGTCACGAGCGCTCCCATGCAGCAGGGTGGCGTGCGCGCACGTGACGCACGAGGTTTTCCTTCAACTTGGCACGATGTGGACAATAAGGACAGCCAAATTTAGGCTCATGTCCACACTCCAACCGTAAATGGCGAGCCAACGAATCGCGTCGTCGGTAGCCACGACCGCATCGGGGACACTGGTGGTCAGCAGGAGGTGGATCATTAGAGGGTGATGTTGGACTACTGCCATTGCTACCATCCCCTGCCCAAAAAAAGGCAGATTCATGTTGCACAAGCAGAACACGAATACCCTCGTCGTCAAGAAGTGTGGAGGAGGAGGCATTAGGAGAGCCAGATGGTAAGTTGTCCCTGCCAGCGGACGAAGCTTCACTGGCAGTATTAGAGGCTTCCCCATCACCTGCAAACACAAACATCATGAGTACACGGTGATGAAAATAAAACCGGTGAGGGAAGATATACACACGCAGTAGATGCTTTTACCATATTTGCGTTTATTCATCAACCAAAGCGATACAACAGAGTGCGCAGCGGCGACACGCAGGCAGCATGTAGGAACTTGCAGGCGCAGGGCGGAGCGGGACGGCGGAGGCAGGCGGGGCAGGGCAGGTTCACAGGCCCTCAGCCAACATTGGATGCTTGAGGCGCAAGTGCTTTTTGAGATTGCCCTTCTGTGTGAAGCGATGCGGGCACGCGGGGCAAGGGAACTGCGGCTCCTTGCCGCACTCGAGACGCAGATGCGAGTTGAGAGAATTGCGCCACCGGTACGTCTTGCCACAGGCGCCGCACGCGAAGACCGCGCCGTCAGCGGCGCGCCCGTGCGGCGGCCGCGGGGGCGGGGCGGGCGGCGCCGGCACCACGGCCCACGAGCGCCGGCAATCGCCCTTCGACCCTGCGACCACGCCCGTTGCCGACGTCGAGAGGTTGACGGGCGTGTCCAGCAGCGGCACGGCGACAGGCGAGACGGAGGCGGGTACCATGCGGCAGCCTGCAAGCGATAGGTGTGAGCGGCGGGCGAGCAATCGCCGCAAGCGCCTGCAAGAGTCGGGGCGGAGGGGCGGGGAGCGCCGCGTCGCACGCTCTCCCACGCCCCCGCCCGCGAGACAGAAAGAGAGAGAAAGAGCGAGGGGGATGCAACAAGAGTGGAGCGCGGACGTGATACCTGCGGCGGCAGGCGTGGCGTGAGTCGGCCGCACGAGGACGCCGCCGCTGCACCGCGATGCGTCAGCGCCTACGGCAGCGACGCGGGATCCATCTTAGGTATCGGCGCGGGCCCGTGCTTGTTCGTCATGTGCTTCTGCAGGTTCCCCTTAAGCTTCGCCCGGTAGGGGCAAAAGGGGCACTGGAACTGCGGTTCCTTGCCGCACTCCAGGCGCAAGTGCGTATACAAGGAGTTCTTCCAGTGGTAGAGCTTGCCGCACTCCGGGCAGCGAAAGCGGCCGGCGCCGCGCGGAGCGGTCACGCGGCCCGGGCCCCCGGGCGCGGAG